GTACGTAACTTTGAACCTCCGTCTTGAAGCTCAGAGCCGCCGTAATGCTGAATTCACGACTTCTGCGCTCGTTTAAAGCCAAACAATGTCTCCGAAAGAGATTTGTGTGTTTTCTTGGAGAAAGCTTGAGCAGATGTCTCTTCAGATCCCGCTCTCTGGTTGTTTCTGAAGCGCGCCGGAGGATGAAAGGCTGAGATAAGCGCTGTTTCTGAGGCCTTTGTGCGCTCGGCGCCGGTGTAGCGATGGTGTTGGGTGTCTTTAGTGTGTCATTCTGCTGTCAGGGTTTAAAGCGTGAGAAATCTCTTCCTGTGGCAGCAGTTCTGAGGTCAGCGGGTGTTTGTGACCTCTGGTTGGCGAATTATAAAATAATGCAAGTTTTTCAAAGTGTTTCAGCTCTGGTTGGAGAGCATGCCTGAAGGTTATGGGCTCAATGTTAAAGCTGCTACACAAAATCATTGTGACATTTCACCTCAAAACCAAAACAATTATAGCTTGCATTAAAGAAAATAAATGCCTATTTTTATGTTTTATGGTATTACATTAGGCATATCATTAATCTGAATGTTGATTAGAATCAGTAGAGTAGAAATACTTTATTGTTTTGAAATTAATTATTTTTAAATGTATATTTAAATATTAAATGTTACTTGTCAGTGTATTGTATTGTATTCTGTTATATTGCATTACAGTAATTACAAATGATTTGGAAATATGTTTAATTGTCAAGAAAATAATGTCAATGCAAAACAACTTGTTGACTAAAAGGCATTTTCTTAATTTTTTAATTTATCGTTATTTTGAATGTTGATTCTTATTTGATTCTAATTGTTGTAATATAGAATTTTTTCTGTTACAGTAATAAATAATATGCAATGTTTTAAATTTAAATAAATAAATACAAATTTAAAACAATTAAATATAAATATGTAATATTTTTGATAAATACAATATAATACACATTTAAAACAAAAAATTAAAATTTTTATATAACATTATTTTTAATATATTCTATATGTTATACATTATTTTGCTTTACAATAATTACAGATTATGTAAAAATGTTTAATTGCCATTAAAATAATTTCGTAATGCGAAAAAGCTTGTGGATTCTGAAAAGACATTTTCCTTGTTTTTACGTTTATATCGTTATTCTGAATGTTGATTCTCATTCAATCCTAATTACTGTAATATTGTATTCTTTTATATTACAGTAATACATATTATATAATTTTTTCAATTAAAATTTTGTTTTTAAATTTAAATATTTAATATTGTTTTAAAAATATAATTTGATATATATTTTGCCATCAAAGTAAGGGTAATTTGGGAATATCTGAAAATAATGACATACTGCATAAAAATATCATTGATTCTGAAATTTTCTATTACTGCGTAATATAATTTCTTTTTTTTTTTTAATTGATTTTGGAGTGAAATCTGGCATGTTTTGTGAGATTCACCCATCGATATTCTCGTGTTTTTCTTTACGTCTCCGATGGGATGATGTAAATGATATTGTTATGCAGAAAAGCAAGCGTTTCCTGTATAAACCTCAAAGCGTTTCCTTAGAAAAGCATTTAAACGGGTTTGCCGTGGTCCACCTTTTATCTGCGCGGGAACATCCCCTCTGGGACGACAGGAGAGAGAGTGATCAAGCCAAAGCAGCTAAACGAAGAGTGTGTTACCCTCCTCCTTATCAACATACATCTCATGCTCCTCCTCTCCTCACAGTGACAGGTGAAACCTCTGCAAATCTCAGCGGCTTACATCTGCTGTTTTCTCTTTCCTTCTTTTGAGAACACCTCGTGCGTGTGGGTGTATCGTCTACATTCAGACTTCCACGTATAGGGCATGTGTGTGTGTTTAGAGAGGCCGTTTTTCCCAGGCTGGTGTGTGAAGTGGGTCGTTCCTGACTGGAATGAGAATAAGCGGGGTGCCGTGCGACCCTGTGAGCTCCGAGCATCGGGCCTCAACGCCGCTGCTGTTGCCATAGTTATCGGTTAACCTATCAGAACTAGTCCTGCTCAACTGAACAGCCACCAGCTGCCACTGACTGTTCTCTCACTTCCAGGCCAAGGTGTAACTCAGTTACAAGTAAACGTGAGGCTAATATTATTTAGTTTTATAATGGAGTCTATGCTGTTGATGGAGGTAAACCTGGATCATTCCCAGCACATAGTGAGGCGCTAATGCAAAAATAAAGGTTCTTTACTGGCTTTGATGGTTCCATAAAGAACCTTTAACTTTCATGGAATCTTCCCAATCCTCAAAGGGTTCTTTATAGTGGAACAAGGTGCTATAGTATGGAAGCTTATTTCTGCCACAAAACAAGAAAAAGTTTATACACTATAATATGGACAAAAGTATTGTGACACCCCCTTCTAATGAACAGGGTTGAATACTTTAGTAATTTCCATGAGTACAAATCTTAATGTTTAAGCATAGAATGATATTCTAGGGAATTGTGTGCTTCTAATTTTATAGCAACAGTTTGGACAGGACCCTTTTCTATTCTAACATGACAATGCCTCTGTGTATAAGGCAAGGTTAAAAAAAGAAATGATTGATTTAGTCAGTGTGGAAGAACCTGACTGGTCTGCAGAAAGCAACGTCCTAATCCCAGCTGAACACCTCTGGTGTCATTTTAAATACAGACCTTGAGCTAAACACTCATCACCAAACACCAGTGACTTGCACATAAACTATATGAACAAAAGTATTGGGACACCCCCTTCTTTAGAACAGAAAAAGGCTCTTCCAAAACTGTGGCAACAAAGATGGAAACATAATTCATGTATTTAAAAATTGTGTTTCCATCTCTGTTGCAACAGTTTTGGAAGTGTCTAAAATTACTGTATTCATATGTACAAGTCATTGGTGTTTGGCGATGAGTGTTTGGCTCAAACCTGTTCATTAGTCAAGTCAAGTCACCTTTATTTATATAGCGCTTTTAACAATACAGATTGTGTCAAAGCAACTGAACAGCATTAATTAGGAAGATAGTGTTCATTGAATTCAGTGATGTCAACATCCAGCTCAGTTTAAATAGTATCTTTGCAATCAAGTCAACGATATCGCTGGAAATGAAGTGTCCCCAACAAAGTTTGGGAGCCAAATGCGAAAAAGCTCTACCTCCTTTAGTGGACTTTGCTATCTTTAGAAGGGGGTGTCCCTTAGTGTATCTCACAATTCAGACTCATTTTCTCGCGTTTCCGCGTTTATTTCTCACGATTCAGACTCTTTCTCTCACGTTTGTGAGTTTATTTCTCACAATTCAGACTCTTTTTCTCACGTTTGTGAGTTTATTTCTCACAATTCAGACTCTTTTTCTCACGTTTGTGAGTTTATTTCTCACAATTCAGACTCTTTTTCTCACGTTTGTGAGTTTATTTCTCACAATTGAGAATTGTGAGATAAAAAGTCATATGTACCTTTTTTATTTTTTAATGCCGTGGCGGAAAGCTTCCATACTTTAGATTTTTAAAATGTTTTTCACACTAGGAAAAAATGGTTCTTTTAATAAGAACTGATCACTGAAATGTTCTCTGGGGAACCAGTAATGGTTCTTCAATGGCTTCGCTGCAAAAGCTCCCTTCTGAACCTTTATTTCAGGAGTGTGAGATCAGCTGACGTTGTCAGTGGAGATTAATCTCCCATGGATTTGGTCGACTATGTGGGAACTGGTGGTTATATACACATCCAAATACAAAAGCATGCTGGGTAGAGGTGCAGAGGGGTTGTTGCATTTCTCTGTCTGTTCTGTTCGATTCCCTCTTTTCATTCAAGCAGCTTGAGGCCGCTTTCTCATGCATTGGGTCGCTAAGGTGCAGGAGGCCGATGGAGAATAACAGCCCTGCTTGTGTAAGGAACACACACACCGAGTTTGGATTCTCAGAAGGATGTTCCATGGAAACACACACACTCGCTGGTGCTCCGGTGCGGAAAATACAGACCTCTGTCTGAACTGACACACGATTCCATTGACTTGATTGACGATGATGATGATGTAACTGATGGTGTTACGAAACAAACATGGTGGTCTGTGGTTACACAAGTTTTATTCTTAGTTTTGGAAGATACCCTATTGAAGTTTGGAATCAGTAAGATTTTAAATATTTTTGAAAGAAGTCTCTTCTGCTCACGAAGGCTGATTTATTTGATCAAAAATACAGTAAAAATTGTGTCAAATTATTATAGTTTAAAATAACTGTTTTCTATGTGAAAATATTGTAAAATGTAATTTATTTCTGTGATGCGCAGCTGTATTTTCAGCATCATTACTCCAGTCTTCAGTGTCACATGATCTTCAGAAATCAGTATAATATGCTGATCTGATGCTCAAGAAACATTTCTGATTATTATCAATGTTGAAGATAGTTGTTCCGCTTCACATTTTTGTGAAAAATATTATCAATTAACTGTTTTCTATCTGAATATACTTTAAAATGTAATTTATTATTGTGATGCAAAGCTGAATTTATGGAAACTATGTTTTCAGGATTCTTTGATAAATAGAAAGTTCAAAGGAACTGCATTTATTTGAAATAGATATCTTTTGTAACATTACAAATGTCTTTATTGTCACTTTTGATCAATTTATATATATTTATATATATATATATATATATTACCCCCCCCCCCCCCCCCAAAAAACCTCTTGAGCTTGTGTTTAACCACAGACCTTATTTCAAGCATTTAACCCAAAACCCATTGACTTCAGGACCAGATTGAACCAGAAGTGCTAAAAAGCAACTCAGTTTATGGGTTTTGGGTTTCTACAAAAATGCATCATCCCCACAGCACTCTTTCATTTGCATGTTTAGTCCAGCTCCACAACTTTAATTCAACCAGTGGTGTGATTGTGGGCGGGACGATTTATTTGTCTGAGCAATGGCAGACAGGGGAGTGTTTCGGAAACCCGCTCCATTTGGTGAGGATAGTGCCACAGAAGAGCGGTTCAGCTTGATATGCTATGTTTGATTGAAAACGTTATCTTTTTA